GCCACATGTCTGCAGTGGCTCAGGCCAGAAGCTTGGTGGGGGGTGGCTAGAACACAGCTCTCCGGCATGTAGCAAGCATGGACTGTGCATTTGCTTCCACTTCTTGCTGCCCCCAAGATCTCTGGGATTTGCAGTCCAAAATCACAGCAGTAGGACTCTGTAGAGTTGCTCATCATTTCCTCTTTCTGCTTCCAGGTGCCTCTGGGATTTGTAGCCCACAGTCACAGCCAGCAGTAGGTTTGAGTAGGGGAAGGGGTGTTTAACCCTCTCCCACCCACCCACCCCAGCCCCAGTACAGGGTTTAGGCAGTTCCTCCTCATAGACTGGGATGCATCCCCAACCAGGCTTGTCCCCCACTTCCCCTGCTCTAGGTAGGACTAGCCCTGCACTCTTTAGCAGACAGCCCAGCCCAGCTCAGGGCTACAAAGTGCTGGGATGCTGGGGGTCTCTGATTTAACTTCAACCAGGAAGGTGTCTGGGACAAAAGTTTCATAAACTACGTTCAAGTAGATTTATCTTAAACCAGTTTCAGCCACTTTGAAACCAGTTTATGTGCACTGAGCTTGTGTTCTGTTACTGATTTAAACCAGTTTCTGATCACTTGAACTGGTTTATGTGTGGCTTCTGTCTCTAGCCCTAGAACAGGGGTGGGCAATTATATCAGGCGGAGGGCAGCTTACTGAGTTTTGGCAAGCCATCGAGGGCCGCATGACAGGGAGCCAGAAGCCGATAGATATTAATTTTCTAAATGTTTTATGGGCCCCACAGGCCAGATAGAATGGCCTGGTGGGCCACATCCGGCTTGCGGGCTGCATTTTGCCCACCCCTGCCCTAGAGGGATTCTGAATAATGAGGAAGAGTTGGTTGAAAATCTATAGGTGAAAAGCAGCTTGGGTGAGAATGATCTTGAAACTGCAGTTCACAATTCTAAGGAATGAAGGTGTGAAGCTAGCAGAATAAAGATAATGGACTTCAAGAAAGTAGACTTCAGAAATCTTTTGGAATCACTAAGATCTTTTGGGGAATAATATAAGGGGTAAATGGACTGTATGCAGGAGAGCTGACAGTTAAAAGCAAAACGGAAAGCTAACCTGATGTACGTGAAAGGAAATCTAGCAAGTGTGGTATGGCTGCATCAAGAGCTCTTTAACGTCATTAAAAAAATTGAATATTAGAAAAAAGGTATGAACAAAAATACATGGTTGAGGATGAGTACGAAGCAATGACACAAAGCAAATTTATAGATTAAATCAGAAGGGTTGTAGTATTAAATGGGTTACAGCAAGCAAAAGACAGAAATGCAAAAAAACCTGAAGTTTTTAAATTTGTTAAAATGGAGGTTGGCAACCTATGGCCCGTGGGCTGCATCTGGCCCATGAAGAAACTGGATCCAGTCTGTAGTAGCTTGGGGAATTGGCAGCATGCATCATCTTCATCTTCAGCAGCAGGGGAAGTTTTGCACCTGCTGTGTTCAGCTTTTCCTCCCTAGTACATAAGAGGCACCATACCTGGGGTCCTAATGTCTGCCCTTTTTTATTGCAACATCTGCTGATTGCCAGGGAGTGCAATGCTGTGGCCTGTGGCAGGGGCTGGGTCATAAGCAGCAGCCCACAATGGCAAAATGGTTGCTAATGCCTGCTTTAAAAGTAAAAGGATGACAAAGAAAAGTAAAGGTCCATTGCTTGATAGGAAAGGAGAGCAAATAAGTGATGACACAGAAGAGGCTGAATATTCAACTTTTTTGCTTCAGTATTCAGAAGAAGGTTACCTTACTACTTAACAAAATTAATTTAAAAAAGTAGTTATGATGGCAGGTTAGAATAGGGAAATGACAGGTTATAAAGATTATTAAGGCAAGTTACATGTGTTCTAGTCAGCTAGGCCTCATTTAAATTCACTGTACAGCAGTTATGGAACTAACTGAAGTAATCTCTGTATCACTGGCAATTATTGAGAATTTGTGAAGGATGGGGCAGGTCCTGGAGGACTGTAAAAAGGTAAATATAGTACCTGTCTTTTGAAAGGGAAAGGAGGAGGCCACAGGGCCTTAAAAACAGTCAGCCTAGCTTCAGTATCTTCCCTACCTCGTCAAAAAAGAGCAAACTATTAAATAATCATTTTGGAAGCTTCTAGGGGATAAGTTAAAAACAAATCATGTCAGTCAAATCTAATTTCCTTCTATGACAGGATAACTGAGCCACTTAAATGGGGAATGCACATGTGATATATTTACAGTATTAAGACTTTTGATGCTGCCACATATAACATTTCATAAGCAAACTAAGGAAATATGTTCTTGATTAACAGATACAAAAGCAGTCAAAACCTAACCCAGCAAGTTGTTACTGTTTGTTTACTGTAAACCAACAAAATGTCTCCTCAGCAGACATTTAGGGCATTTTTATGTATGCTCCCAGTGAAATGCCAGGTGCTTTTAATTAATGAACCGTGTTAATTAAAAGCGCCCAGCACTGCATTGGAACCAGATGTATCAGTGGCGCGGTGCATGTCAGTGCTGAGAATATGGTGGTGTTTTAGTTCAAAGCACACTACTACCATTTTCTCAGCACTAATGTGTGCTGTGCCACTGATGCACATGACGCACAATGTTGCCAGCACACATCAATTTATGTGCTTGAGCAGACTTGATTAATTGAGTCTGCTCTGATGCGCTGATGTCCAGTGCCTTGGAGCAGACTCCCCGCATACGTGTAAGTGCCCTTAAAGTATACCCACAGGTGTCTGCAAGGACCTTATTCCATTCAGTGTTTTCATTAATGACTGAGATGTCAGAGTAGGGCATGCCCTTATAAAATTAGTGGATGACTGGTAGTTTTCAAGAAGTTCTGAGGGCTATTGAAGATAGGATTCAAAATCAAAATGATCTTGATAAATTGGAAAACTATTAAGGATCCAATATAAAGAAATTCAATAATGACAAATGCAAAGTAGTTCACTTAGCACAAATGCACAATTACAATATTGGGTAATATCTGGCTAGTGAGTTTTGTGATCCACAGTAGCCTCCAGATCCATTTCTTGCAATATTGGCTCATAGCAGTACTTCAGAAAAAGATTTGTGGGTTATGATGTCAACAATGTGATTCTGCTGAATTAAAGACAGACTTGAATACAGCACGCATAAAGAAGAGTGGTATCTGCAATACAGGAGAGGTAATTATTCCATACTATTCAGTGCTGGTGAGGCCTCATATATGAACTACTATGTCCAGTGTTGGCACCACACTTTTAAAAGTTACGAACAAGTTGGATAACTAGAGAACCAGAAAAATGGAAAGAATTTTGGAACATATAACCTATGAGGAAAACTTGAAGAAACTGGGTATGATTAGTTTAGAAAAGAAGACCAAAGGGGCACATAATAGCAGTCTTCCAGTACATAAAAGTTGTTTCATAGATCTGACAAAATAGGTGGCTGCCTATGAAAATGTATGCATTTCTGAACAAGTTAGTATATAAGGTGCCACCTTTGCCTTGGCTTGTGTTAGAAAAGGGACAGAGATCAAATGTTCTCTTTATGGGGGAAAGGACAAAAACTACATGACTTAATTCAAAATAAAGGAAATATAGGATAGCCAGACACTGGAAATGGCTAGTTAAGGAGGTTGTGAAATATCATATATTGAAGTTTCAAGACCACATTTGAAAGAAATGTTTTGAGCATGGTCTAAGTATACTTTTTCTGCCACAAAACAGGGAGCTAGAACAGATGACCTCTTGATGTTCCCTGCAAACATGGCATTTAGCATAATAGTTTGTGGCAAGGAGGCTTAGCAATACACGGGACAAAATAGAGGTTGTAAATTTGCTCAAGTTGACTCATTTGCTAGACAACCCCATTTAGTCCATATAAGCACTTTTCCTGAAGCTTAGTTAAATTTTTTATGCTGAAATATGTAGAGACCCGCAAATGCTTGGGTGTTTTTTTGTGGGGTTACTCTCTCTATTGTTTTGAAAATAGGGAGTCTATCGTCTTGAGAGCTTCTGTTTTATTTATTTATAAGCTGTTCTGTGATGACAAGCAGCATAATATTGAAGAATTTCATATTACAGTTAATTGAAAATTGCAAATGTCACCCCACAGAATTAGCAATATTTTGACATCTGCTGTCACCCTTTCTTCCTGAACTTCATTTTCCATGATACATCATGGTCCCTGAATTTCTTAGATGTGCTTCAGTTTATGCTTCTTCTTTCTTCTGAAAGCTTAACTTCTGCAAAGATCACAGTCACCGTAGAAGCTGTTAGATGAACATTCTGGCTTTTTCCAGGACCTTTTGAAGGATATATGAAAGTTTAGATTGATGTATTTGTTTCCCTGATTGTTGAAATGAATTTCCAGACCCAATAGAATCTCCATTTGGATATGCTACTCCAATGGTGAGAAAAAACAAAAGAAAAAAGGAAGCTTGATTGCAGAAATGAATGGCATTTTGTTTAAGGAGATACAGCAGTGCTACATTATAGTCTGCTTAATTTGTTCTTACATGGTTGATAGATGATCCTTGAAAGCTTATTGTTCTTTAAAAGGAATTTTCTGTTGGTAACAGTTAAAGTGATTCTGCAAAGGCTTTGTTTATTTCTTGCAAAACAGTGACATTTTCTTCTTAATACTTTATTTCCTGCTTGTAACACTTTAATGGTTCTGGAAAATGAATATCAAGCTACCATGTAATGTTGTTTTTCAACAGAAACTAATGCTATAAATTTAGATTTGAAAGCATTTAAGTATTCATTATTTTGTAAATAATGAAATAAACCACATACAAAACTTATATCCTCTAAAAATAAATCCTAGTGATCTCAACATAGTTTTATTTCTAGTGAAAAACAGGGGAAGTATAGTTTCTTTTAAAAACATTATTTATTTTGCTTCATTTTAAGTTTTAAGTGATGGGCCAAACTTTGTCATTATGTACACTAGCATAAACTAGAATAACCAATAGGCATCTGTGTTTTCCAGTTCCATACCTGCTCCTATGATGTGAATCTGAAATGCATATCACACAAAGATTGACATTACTTAGAAATGCAAAGAACCTAATAGCAGAAATTGAAATCTACTGTTTGACTCCAACACATTTAATATAATAAATCTTAAGCCCTAAAAAAATTGTGTTACTGTATATAAGACTGATTATATATTAGCTGATTTTGATATCTGTTGTACTCAGACCACTGTATATAATATGACTGTGCATCTGTTTACATAGCTGCATCTTTTCTTTTCTTTTTAAGCAACTATCTTGCATATATCTGTAAGGAGGTGCTCAGCCTTCAGAGGGCTGAAACCCAGTGGCAGGTAGATAGTCTGCCTGGCTGGAAGGCTGGGAGCCAGCTGAAACTGATCTCTTTCTTGCGTAAATGAGGGCCGCAAGAGGCAAGCCTGTAGTGCTAAAGAAGAAGTGCAGAGTTTAGGTTCCCCTGTCAAGGTCTGACAGCAGGTTTTGGTCCTGTTCGTTGTTTGCATTCTCCCTTGTTTTGTTGTGTGTTTTGTTTACTGTGGGAGCAAGGGTGCCCTATATAAAATAAACTGACTGGAAATCCTGAACATGGAGTTGCCTGCCCTTGGTAAGGAAGCTGAGTGAGTGACCTGCTTACAGTACTTTGGTGCTGCATTATTGCCAGTATCCTCATCACTTTTCCTCAGTTGGTTAGCCACCCATTTTGTCCTTCTCTTTGTTTTCCAGATTTTCCATGCAAAAAGGAGTTTAGAAGGCTCCATATACTTATACCTGTGAAAAGGACAAGGCCAGAGGAAAGGGAAGAGAGGGATTTTACAGTTTTGGAGCAAGGATGGTGCCAACCTGTGCTATGCAACACAAAAACAAGAGTTAGTTGCTACTTCACCTGGTCTTTTCACAGAACAGCATGGTCATTGCCTTCCTCAGGGGTTAAGGGCAGGAAGAGGTGCCTGTTTTATGGATCACTTAAACTTCATGGAAGTGGGCACAGACAGGGATGAATGATTGACTAGAAAACTCAACAGAAATTTTCCTCTGGGTTAACCCATTTAAAACTGGGCAACCTTGGAGGATGGCTGTCATGTAGGGCTCCTCAGCCCTGTTAATGTTGAGCACACTCCTGCATTGTTTATAAGCCTTGAATGACAGCAGTTTATCCAGGCAGCAATAGTACTTTAACCATTTTGATCAGTTCTGTACCTACATCTACTA